AACTCACTAGGTGATTTCCCTGCTGAGCCTATCCTCAGAACCTACCCTAAATGCAGCACTCTGAGCAGCCTCTACCAATTAGCTATGGTTTGCAAGCAAGATAAAACCCCATTTGTCATCCTTGCCTCAGACCCAATATGAGGCTGAGATTGGGATATTTTGAAAATCATCATTACCTTTTTTGTGCCATTTGGCCCCCAAATTTAAATACAGAAAGCAGTTAATCTTATTAAGAACCCACAGGCCTATTGGCCTATTCACCTCTGTGAACTCAACTTACCATTGCTGTTCTGTTTGAAAAGCAGCACAGATGCAGGAGGAAAAGTGATAGGGGCATATACTGTCACCACCAGAGCCAAGTCAGCAGTCAGGAATCTCTGAAATTTATGTTTATCCGCTGCCATAAAGGTTAAAAAAATAAAAACCAAAAAATATTTTGAGAAACAATAGGTAATCCAGAGGCCTGTGAAAAGCGGTATCACTGCAACTCTTAAACCTAAGGCACCTAGTGTTTCTTTATCCCACTAATTCTCCAAACATTTTCTGGCCTCAATACAACTGAAAGGTACAACCCAATCCTATCAGTGATTTTTCAACTGGAGGCAGAATCTTGGAGCTTAAACTATATTTTGGGGTTGGAAAAAGTTCTCCAGGTGATTCTGATACACATCACCCCTACCTCACTTGAGAATTAGTGCTTTACAAAAAAACACTTCACTAATTCAACAGCTCTTAGTCTTGAGCAAGGATTGGCAAACATTTTCTGTAAATGGGCAGAGAGTAAATATTTTAGGCTTTGTGGCCATATAGTCTCTGTTCCAACTACTCAACTCTCACTGTAGCACAAAAACAGCCACAAAAGAAATAAAAAAATAAAAAATAAAAAAAAATAAAAGACAGCCACAGACATTTTTAAAAAATTAAACAAGAAAGCACAACTGTGTTCCAACAAAACTTTACTTAATAAAACAAGCAGTGGGACAGATTTGGCCAAGGGCCAAACTTTACTAATCTCTTCCTGGGGACTATCTAGATCTTGTCTTTACCTTCAACGAAACCCTTTTTAATACAGTATTAACGCTTTTTAATACTGAATGTTATAGGGAAACAAAACATTTTAAGGGAAAGA